CCGTATAAGTGCTAATGTACATTTATTTTTCTGTCTCAATGCAAAGCAATTTTAAGGGATGCTTCCTAAAATTTCTTTCTATAAAAGCCTCACCTGAATCTTCTGAATCCGGATTTGAGCTCCCAATTAATAATGATTTTCATGCCGACTGATTTAGTACACACGTATTTGTGGAACACCTTTTATGTTGTAATAATGCAACCTATTGAAACATAGTATTTTAAGGCCCGAATTTGCTTTACACCTCGCCATCATAAAAGTATAAACAAACTCAAAATTTTTGTTATTTATTGCCTAGTGGAAATCCGGTGTTAGGCCTTTTAGTTGCTGTGCAATAAATAGCATTCGTTGGGTCAGAGACAACTGCATAAAAATTTGAACTCGTAACATCAATATCGTTGTTCGTCGATATGCCAAGCACAAAAACATTTGGCTGCACCAGCTACCACTAGTTGGAATATGTATTTTTCAATAATAACCAGATATAGTTAAATCGTTTGTCATTAGGCGGCAAATAGTTCCTATTTTTCATTGACAGCATAGATTAACCCTTAATGGGCTATTTGTTATGAAAAATCACAAGAAATATTTTTCATTAATTCTGTTGTCTGAAAAGTACTTTGCTTTTGCATATATATGTTTGTTCATACATATGTGCATAGAAACAATGGGCGCGTTCATAAGCCGTAGCTGTTAGGTAACCGTTGGCTATTTGTCTTAGAAAGGCACAGTTGAGAAGTTCCGCTCAGCTCAACAGTTGGCAAATCTTCGCCATTTTTTCCAGCGGAAAATTTTTACGCTACCTGAACTCAACGTGTTGGGCTTAGCCTAAACAGCTGAATGAAAAGACTTACGCCGCATATATTAAATTTAACGCCGCTTTGTTAGGTGGCAGTTGCAAACAAATTTATTCAATTTTATATTACTGATGTGATAAAGTAACTAAAATATTTCATAATAATACTACGTTTCTAAGTATATGTTTTTAAGATGTTTGCTATCAAATTACACACTGTTTAATTCATTATAACATTGAACGATTTTTTCAACACGGCGGCAGCTCAGCGTTGAATTCTAAATACTATCGGCGCAGCTATCTCTGTTTGTTGCAATTTCATTTGTTTACATTTATCGCCTGTTCATTTGGCAGCATATTCATCAAGCCGTTTCTAAGACGTAATTGTTGGGTTCAACAGTTTCCAGCAGTTCCGTAGCAGATGAGCTAAACAGCTACGTGTTATGAATGCGCCCAATATTTTTGGATATTCTTAAAAAAAAATGTCATTTATTTCAATTCAATTTATTTTCACTTTGTTTGAATATTGTAATGTCGACATATATATTAGAACCGGTATTCACTCAAAATCAAAAAAAATTTAAGCCAACATCATTAATTCGTTTTGTATATGAACAATTTATAAGCTGTTTTGAATGAATTCATGCAGCCCTCTACTATATACTGATTTAGAAAATTTTTGTAGAAGAAAATTTCTTTTCCATCCTTTAACGTCAATTTATATGAATTTTTAATTTTTTTAGGCAATGATGGCAAAAAATACTAGCTTGCAAAAATATGTTTGATCTGTTTCTGTCGGAGACATTTATGTACGTTTGTAGGTTCACACCAGTGTAACCTGGTTAGCCTTTTTGAAGCTAGATTTAGCATTTAATTTTGTGCGATAGCCATATAACTTTAGGTCCAGCTTCTCGGATTTTTCCTAGGCTTGCTTTATTCAAATATTCACAATACATTTAGGACCGTTTACCGTTCGAAAATACAACTGTAGTGCAAAGCACCATTTTTTTCGTTTTTTTTTTTTTATTTTATTCAAAAAGATTGTTAGTATGAAGAAATTTGCTTTAAACTGTATTTTTTCACTTTGATTTTTAGGGCTACTACACTGCCGGTAAAAAGTATTCGCACAGCGATTTTTTTACAATAAATGCAACAATTTGTATTCTAATATTTTCCGCTTTTTTTTATAAGAATAGGGTTCATTCTACAACAAAAAACATAAAATCAATAATTTTTAAACTTTGTGCAAAACCTGCGAAAATTCAATAAATTTCCATGCAAACCTTCAACTTTTTAATCAGATTTTTAGATTTTTTTTTGAGTATGCATATTTGTAGCCCAATAAATTTTACAATAAACTGCAAGTTTCAAGTAGCTACGAATTACAGTTGATTTTTTTAAATTTCGAAAAAATTTGAAAAAAAGCAAAACACCTTCAACAAAAAAATTCTCAAAAATCAATGCGATTTTTTACCAACTGAACTTCCATTTTTTTGTACTAGAATTTAATGGGCTACAAAACTGCATACCTTAGAAAATTCCAAAATAACTGATTAAAAAGTTGATAATTTGCATGAAAATTTATTGAATTTTTGTGTGTTTTGCGCAAAACTTAGAATTTATGTTTTCATATTGTGAAAAAAATATCGGTAAAATAATAGAATAGAAATTGGTGCATATATTGTGAAAAATTCGCTGTGCCAATACTTTTTTCCGGCAGTGTATCTGTATACTCTGATGTAGAAAACCTATAAATAATATAAAATCCTTAAAATTAAGGGACAGAATATTCGAACCGTCAATGGTAGCGCAACGCTTCTTCTAGGAGTGATTGTTTTGCCGGTGTTTGGGATGCAGTCTCAAGAGATCTTTAGTTTTTGATCTTGCCTGAGTTGCAGCAGGAGGTGTACTTAGGAATCAACTTTTTGAGAGCTTTAGATATGGCTGTTGTCAGTAGGAGCGTGAACACGAAGAGCGCGGTCTTTGTAGAGCTCCTTCCCGCCGAAGGCGACTTGTCGTTTAACGCGGTGCAGCATGATTTAACGTATGCGTAAAGCGTAGCTCTAGAAAAAGTAAAAGCGCAGTTCTCCTCGTTCGTCGTACTAGGGCTTGGCAAGACAGACGAAGAAGAGCACGTCATCGAAGTGACGGATGAAAACCTTCCGTTCAAACAGCGGCACTGCCCTATATCATCACCGATCCAAAAGTTGGTGTATCAGGAGCTAGCCAGGGCCAACAAGACCTTTTTATCTGAATTTGTCGAGTTGGTGAAAAGTTTTTTAGTTATTAATCGACTTCGAAAGAAGCGGACGTTATCAATTCGAAATATTTTTTTTTGTGTAGATATCGAGCGCTTATATTCAATATCCTCTTTCTGCACTTTTCACAAATATGAGACTCTGATATAAAAATCCACCTAAGGCTTAACTGTCATCGGTGGTATTAATGCTGACCTTGTATAACGCTTGACAAAAGAATTGACTAACATCAGTGATGACAGGTAAGTCCCAGATGGGTTCTAACATTACAAAGTACTTTTTGTGAAAATTGCATGGTATTGAATATAAGCTCTCGATATGTTACTGATAATTTTGGGCCACGTGAACCGTTTTTGATTTTTTTTTTATCGAAAAGGTTGTACTCAAGCGTGGTCGCATACAATTTTAGTTTCGATCATGGGGTCATGAAAAAATAAGCGTTATTTTTATTTTCTTTTTCATGAGCATTGAAGTCGGTTTTTTTTTTAATTACTGACTTAATTTTTCATACTTTTTCGGAGTGGCGCTGCGGCGTAGTGTTCAGAAGTGCGTATTACCATTCCATAGACTCTGGGATGGAACTCTGTTTCTGTATAAAAATACAATTACTTCGACGTATGTGACTTTTTTTGACATTTTGATGGAGAAATGCGTCTAGATGCTCTAGGTCCTGGGTCCTTGGGGTCTAGAAGCATTTCTACATCAAAAAAATGGTTTGAAAAAAATTTCGCTTACTTTTTTTTTGGCGGTTAGGACTCGATATGCACTCGAAAGTAATAGAAATATTCTTAAGGGATCCACTTCACATTGGAATCTTTCAAAAAAGGGGAATTTCAAATAATTGTTCACCGCATACCTCGTTTAGGGTTAATTTATAACAACGCTGTTTACAATGGTCCTGTTTAAAGTGTAAATAACCATTAAAGTTCGTGACAATGACACAGTAATCATGCACGCCATTAAATAGTCAAGCTATGGAAACTCCACAAACTTCCTTACGAACATATAAAAGTAAACAAATTATGGCTTGTATGTACTTAATCATGTGTGAGCGTCGTTTTTTTTTTAGCAGAAAGCATAAATGGGCAAGCCTTAAAATTGAAACTTCATGGCTTTTAAATGATATATTGCGTGAAATAATGATTCAACCACTGAAGCGGTAGCCATCAGTTAATACGTTTGTGTTACAACGGCAACACGTGTGTGTTGCTGCGTATGCGAGTAATTGAAAATAAACACATAACACAGCAACTAGTGTGGCATATATTTAGGCGAATAAGAGCGTTGACTGCGTGTTAACCACGTAAATTATCACGTTGCGGGAGTGTTGATAGGTGTCGTCACATGCGTTTTTGTTTTTGTAGTAGGCGTGTTGATCGGTTGTTTAACAAATTGATGTCTACAGGTATTTATGTTTAGATAATAATTAGGCATTTATTTAACTAGACGTGTATGTATGTTCATGACGTTACCTGAAATGTAATAGGCCGTAACTATCAACATTATTATTTTTTTTTTTGTATAAATCGATGTGAGAACTTGTAATTCGATGTGATGCATCATCATCAATCAATAAGGAAATTTTGAATTACAGGCTTTTGCAATTCAGACGGCGATATTTAGGTATTTATGTACATAAATTAACAATTTCTATGATATATGATGGAAAGTTTCAAGTCATTAAGAAATTTAGTTACAATTAAAAAAAAAAATACTATAGTTCATTAACACATACGAAAATAAAATTTTGGTATTAAGTTACGTACTTACCTGAGGAATATTTTCCACATTCTACCAACCTAAATTCTGTGGTCATATGCAATAACCGCCTAAGTCGAAACAACTGAATTCGAGAAAAAACGTTTGAAGCATTTGGATCGTAATGTTAACCTTATGGGAAAACTAAAATATGTTCGTCTATAACTTTTTAAATAGTAGTTGCAGAATACGATACCATATACATATAACTCAATTCTTTCTTAAGTCGACTTAGGCGGTTATTGCTTATGACCACAGAATTAGTTTTACTTTTGCTAAATAAAAAAGATTTTTTAGACTGCAGCTCTGTTTTATCCAAATAAATTTTCATGTATGTATGTTTATTTTCGGTCTACAATTTTATTATTAGATATTATTGGCATATCGTCGGTGATACTACAGAACGTTATATGTCACTTATTACCTCTGGTGCTTAATTGATCTGTTATCTGTACCTGATCGCTTCTGGCAGTCGTTCATCTTCATCAGCCAAAGGTAGACAGTTTTGTCATTCGTTTATTAGGGTGTAACGATTTGCAGATGCATTCCGGTGCAAGTAAGAGACCATTTAAGTCTCAAGGGTACTAATAGACATATACCGTTTTGCAGTATCACCGTCGATATGACCCATTTCCGACAAAAGTCTAACTGCAGTAAAGAACTTCTGAACATTTTAAATCCATTGTCTGGAGTTACTCTAATATAGGATGATCTTAAAGTTTTAGTATTTTTGCTGTAGTTTCCAGCCTTTTTTTATACCCAAGTGGTGGGAGCATTTACTTCGTTCGAGGTAGAAACTTCTTCTTTATACTAAAAGTACCTATTGGTAAAAGTAAATTTGTGTTTAGCTACGGCTCTTTATGCGCCTAAAACTATTTTATCAAATTCTTTTTACATTATAATATTTCGTAGCCTAATACCCTTTAGTTTACCTTGTTCAAATATGCAGATAAGACACCATCATACAACTATTACTTGAAAATTTTCACATTGTTGCACAATTCATTTGGACGAGAAGCACAAACTGCAATTAAGGCTCGGTGGAAATGGCTATTACATCGCTTACATACGCATTTAATGATTCTTAATTTATGTCATTTATATGGATGGCGTTTTCTGCAGAACTATTTAGCTTGTACTTAGTGTGGGTGGTTTATTAAAGTTTCGGTATATTTCTAGAATATGTTGTCCATTAACCGCTGGCCTTTTGGAACTGTATTAAAATAACCAGATACGTAGCAATTGCTGAGCTAAACTGAAAAAAAATAAAAGAAAATAATTGAAATATTTAGTTCAGAATTACGATACGAGTATGTGATTACAGGGCACTATAAAATTATACTGTAGTTAATGCTCAGGAAAAGTATTTAGGAAAATTTTTAAATGCGAAAACGTGGAAAAGTCGAAAGTAAGGCTAATACAAACTTTTTCTATTTTCAATTCAATTTTGGATACCTTCAACTTTAGTGAAGCGTGCTCCCTGATGGCGCAAGGTTTGAGCCAGAAGGTGGGTGGGTTAGGACTTCCCATCCGGTACCATCGAGATAAATTTTGACCACTTGTGATGGAAGTTCAATGACTTACGTCTGGTTGCCCACTCTGGCTATATTTCAGCAGTGATTGTCTGTGGAGAGCCCCATCGTTCGTCTGACCACTTTTCAGAAGCTCTGATATAGGATTCCCTTGTGGTAAAACCAAAGGCAGAGCAATACTTTGATGCCATGGATATTTAGCTTTGGCGTCGATAGTCCGGATTCAACGTGCTTAACATACGGCTTCTGGCGCTTTGGTTTCTCATATGATAAATGAGCTTTTGGGAAATAGTGAAATGCCGTTCCATATCTTGGGGTTTGACTTCATGAGGCACCCAGTTTCCGACTTCCTGGACCATAGCATGCTTTTAAATCGCAATGAAATGACTGGTTCTTCTTGTGTTTGGCACGAGTCTTCGTACAAAACTGCATCCAGTTCAACGGCCTTCCGTCGTGCTTCTTTTCGTTTGGGTCTAAAGTACCACTTTGATAGAGGCTTCTACTAGATTTATTCCAATAAATTTAAGCGATTACTTTCTCTTAAAATTTCAGAGCTTCTACTAGATTTATTCTAATAAATTGAAGTAAAAGGTCTGAAGTTTTAATAAAAAGCGATTGCCAGCAATTGCTTACTTTTTATTCATAAGGCCCAAGATCGTTTTATGAGCACCCTTGATTGCCTTCGATACTCTCGTGGCTCCTCTTGTTGTCCAGCCCCCAGGAATAGTTCCATGACCTATGTACCAATTTTAACTCGACGTAAAGGCGAGAGTGCATTACCGCTTGTGGAAATTTTGATTCCACGCGATATTATCTAGATGTTCCTTGACTTAGCTCAGATGTAGTTAGAAAACATAAACAACTGCTTCTTCTGACGCCGCGCATGCTCTTCCAAACCTGTACCCCCGGTAATGGAGTCACAATGAATGGTGGTAATAAATGCCCTAGAGCTTTTACTCTCTCTCCGCATCTAAATGTGAAATGTGCTGATAGACCAATAATGGTGACTTTCCTGTTATAGCTTTCATAGTCGACAACTTTAGTCGACTGTGCTTTTTAGATTGGCTTATAAAATACCAGATTACATATTACCAAATTACCGACGATACTAAAGCATCCACGAAGTCCCTTATATAAATAATCTATTAAACTATACACTCACCGATGTCAATATCTTTCTATTAATACGACAGAGCCCCAGCGCCGAGAATTCTATGTCATTAACCAGCAATTGCTGCCAAAATCTCCTGATCTGTGGATAAAATATTGTAACAGTTTATACTCGTACTCTGTAAGTACCCACATGGAGAAAGAAACGAAAATAAGCAAGACTTACCTCTTCAGCCAGTATAGGCTCATGAGTTTTTCGCTCGATTTCAGATACAATTTGTATGGTTTTCTTTGACTGCAAATAAACAAAAAAAAATATGGTTTTTATTCAAATCTAGGAAGGAATCTAGATTCCTTTAAATTAACAAGCAATTTTTAAGTAAAAAACAAAACCGTTTTCAATTCCCATATAAAAATTTAAGAGTACCGTTAATTTCTTAATAATCCAATGATCGGGTCTGAACCAAATTAGAATGGGACCACTTATGAGGTACAAACTTTCCTTTAAAATAATAATTATAGAAATCCGTTGCCATGGTTAACATACATACATAAAAAAAAAATATTCCGTCAAATTGATAACCTTTTTCTTTTTTTGAAGTCGGTTACAAATAAAAATAGAAACTCGAGAATTCCAAAGCATTTTTCCATCACATCTTGATCGTTCATTCAAAGTTTCGAGATATTCAATCGATATTTACTCCTATTATTTTTAGTGTTGAAAGTATCGAGTACTTTTGAGGATCGAGTTCTTTGGTATCGATACTTTTAAGGATCGGGTATTTTTCAGAGTACTGAGTACTTTCTTCAAATATACAAATTTTTGTAACATATCCATACTTAGTGTAGAAATCTCACAAGCTGGCAGTACTTTGTTTTTGAATCCCAAATTACGTCAAATAAATGGCTAACTATACTGGGTACAAGAAGTGTACTTGAAAGTTTTTGAAACTGCAAATTGAGTACAATTATTTCTGAATACCGTTAAACGTTAATAAAACTTAGTACTTTTTAAGTCTATTCGACATTAATACTGAATACTTTGAATCGATCCTGAGTAGGTACATGTATCAAACCGATTATTGAAACAGAGTAATTTTAAGTACTGAGTACTTTCGACTTCGTTTGTGAGCACTGATTTCTTTGGAATACTCAGTATCGCTCCATTTTAAAAAATCGGGTGCTGTCGATCTTTTTGAGAATCGAGTTCTGAGTACTTTTGGTATCGATACTGTCCAACACTAATTATTTTATTATCTGAAAGCATAATTGTACACACCTCTTCCGTTGCTCTGTGACATGGTTCCACTACCATTAGCAATCTGAATATATGGAAAGCAATCCACAACACCTGACCCCATACATAATCGGCTACATTTCTGTTCAACAACGCTAAAAATAGAAAATATGCAGTGGCCACCAAGTGCAGCAGGCAGGATACTAAAATGAAAAGCACTGCCACACCGTAGGCGCTAACAGGAGAGATACGGTTAATAAAGGCTTAGTACCAGGATTTCTGGAATATTACTTACTTGGAAAAAATCTGCACACACTTGCCTAATGAATCGTAATTTTCGGCAATTGATCTCAGCAAAATGACGCGCGTCTTGCCTGTAAGGAAAATTCAATAAAATAATCAAGAATAAGGACGTTAGTTCTTTTTTTAATTTTTTTAACCAATATGCCTAAATTGTTATGTACATACTATTTTTATTGCTATGTATTATGCAGCAAAAATCAATGAACCTCGTTCCACTCTCACTCACCTAAACATTCTTTAGACATCGATTCACTGCTTACACGTTCTTTACTCTCGTGTATTGATATTGCATGATCTGGTGTGATTTTAAGGCTATTAATGTGATTTCGAACTACAGTCAACGATTTTTTATCTGAAAATTGAAAAAAGGCTTTTTTTATAATTTAAAACGTTTTTAACAATAACGTGTTTGGGAACGATTTCAAATTAAGTTCAAGGACAAAAGATTGTATTCGTAATTTACTTCACATCGTCTTACTTGTTAGATAACAGCTTCTTAACATTTCATTCAAGCGACCGAAACGTCTGCCAAATCCAAAAGCGGTATTGGCAAATAAAACGTGAAAGCCAATCAAGACAAAATAAAGTAAATAAAACGGTAAATACCATGCAAGATTGGAATCTAGTCAAGGAGAGAAAGAAAGAATTATACATTTTGTATGAATGTATGCAAATTAAAATTCTATTACTTACCTGAACCATTTTCAGGTGTAAGTTGGACTTGAAGTATCCATGTGTAAATATCGAAGCCTTGATAGATTTTTTAATAAATAGCTAATAATTAATGCTTTTAAATTATTATAATCACCTATTAGGGCACCGCTTATCAACAAAGGAATTACGGCCAATATTCTGGTTATGTGGCGATCACTTTTGAAATTCGAAAATGAATGTAATGCAGCATCAAACTATGTTGTAAAAATAGTAACGGATAAATAAGGGATACAATTTTTAAAATTTATACTCAAAAACAATTCATGGGATAAAATAATCAATTTAGTTGAATTCAATTCAAGTATTTTTCATATGTATGTAGATAATTCAATTCTTTTTAATTTATAAATTACACAGGTATACAGCAAATATGTTCTATGGATGCTACTATCCAATTCCTATGTATTCATGGAAAAAAAGTTAACTCGATTTTCGAAATCACCGAGTAATTCTACATAAGAATTGGGTAGTGGCGTCTGGACAACAAAAACAAAACTAAAATTTGTGATCCAGTGTTATTTTTCATTCGACCATTATGAGCTGGAAGGCAATTAAATGAACTAGATCAGTAAAATATGTTATTCGCTAAATGAAATGGCGATATGCTTTCCCATCTAGCGATGTAGAGATTTCCACTTCAACGCTGTCAGACTGGAGCGCTACTAGGAAATTTATAATGAATTTGAATGCGATCGCCGTGATCGAGTATAATTCTGCCATTGCCGTTCGGAGGTGGCGTAAAACTGTAGGCCCCTCATCTTTGTGTGACAGCATCAAGGCACACGCAACAAATCCGAGGAGAAGCAAATGTGTAAGCGCCAAATATTTATTTATTATTTTGGGCGTGTTTGAGACGGTAACAAAGTTCTATGGGGAAAGCTGTTGAATAATATTTTTACTATGGTGATACAGTTTTGCCAATGCCATGTGAAATGAAATCTTTTTTGACAGCAGTAAATTTTTGATAACCGCAGATTTATTCGGAATAAACTATTACAAATTGAAGTGAAATTAATATTTTAAGAAAACATCTACCATCATTGATTGCAATTCATAAATTTAAACTTTTATTCAACGAAAAATTACACACATCAACAATCTATGCATTTGTCAAAAATTTCACTAGTCTCATGAGCTACTGCCATTTTTTTCACCTCATACTTGTCAAAAATTTACTCGCCGCGAACTTTGTTACCGATTCATACACACCCTTTCTAATTTTCTAATATTTTAAAGTTTTTTATCCCATGAATTAATCATTCAATCGACTTACCTTTTTTAAGCTTTCATTGACCTCTCTTGTTGGTTTCACACTGAAGAGACCGCATCCCAAGCCAGCGGCACTTGAAAGTATCACTACTGTCACATCGAGTGCAGTTACCACTTTTGATGTAGATGAATTCATTCTAAAAGATTGACTATATGAATTATGTAAATTACATGGATTTATCTGATACAACCACAAATTTTTGCGTAAATAATTTACCGGTGAACTTTTCGAAAAGTCGTAAAAAATATTCTTATTATTTTTTAAATACATCACTATGTGGAAAAATGGAAATTTCAGGTCGCTGTAGCCCTTCTGTTTATTAATTTACATTACGCTCCTACGGAAAAAACATCGCTTACAAAAATATTTGAGTTCGTAGACTGTAAAGTTGTATTTAGTGGGTTATACTATGTCTCCATTGTGAGATTTAATGAAGATTTAGCCCTCTGGCGAGATTTAACGTTAAATATTTTGAGATTTATACTATGTCTCCAATATGAGATTTAATGAAGATTTAGACCTCTGGCGAGATTTAACGTTAAATATTTTGTGATTTACCATATAAAATTAAATCTCAAAAGGCAGTAGATTTAAGTTAAATCTTCCTTAAATCTTCAATAATATTGATCACTAAATACAATTTGTTGGGTGTGGCAACCACAAATTCACATGCCATAAGTACGGTGACCAAAAATATATTTTGAAAATGCAGGACAATTTCAAAAAATTTACCTACATATAATTGCGTAGTATAAAAATAACAAAAATATACTACATATATACATTCCTCGTCATTTGAATAGCGCGCCATTTTTTTGATTTTCTACCATACAAAGCATGCTTGACAAAATTTTTAAATGGAAGAAAATGCGCAGCACCGTGAACAAAAAAAATTGTCGCCCCTATGTTTTTTTTTTAATTTTCAAAAAATTTTAAATGGAATGTAGACGTAGAATATGCTATATTTTTATAAAAAGTTAATGAACATTAAGCAAACAAAAGGAAAACTGTACCTACTAAGTATTAAAAGGATGCGCTATTCAAATAACGAAGAGTGTATATTTCTTAATTATTTATCCAATTTTAAACTTTAAACATAAATCACGTATGCTTCATTGGTATTAATCTTTTAGTAACGAATATTTACAAAATTATAATAAGGCATATTACATATTACTTTACACGAAATATGAACCTCTGCAAAGCAATTTTTTTAGGCAAACTTTGGGTCGTTGAAAACGAAAAAAAATACCCATGGTTTCAAAGAAGTGTTTTCGAGATTTGTTCGAAAAACGTATTTTTAGTACTTTTTCAGTTATTCCTCAATATCTCATTAAACGACCAACAGTTCGAAAGGTATTGATGGGCTCTTTGCAAAAATATATATTTTTTGTGCAGATTGTGTTCCGTAACATTAACATTTCTCATCAGATTTTCATTTACTGTAAAAAGAAAATGATTGAAATTTAAATTTTTCGATTTTGGTCGCTTGTAACACTAATAATTTTCATCGAAATCGGCAAAGTAATATATTTTTGTAAGAAGACTGTAGGTCGCTTATGTTGATTGGATAATTTTTTCATGAGATATTGCCGAATAGGTTTGAAACGTACCAAAAATACGAAAACGGTTGTTTGAAAGGAAAATTGGCTTGGAGAATATTTTTTTCTTAAGCGATTGCCACAAAATTTGTAGAACAGTGTTATCGATATATTTGATGCTGGTCTTCAATTTCTCGTCATCCATTGTCCATAACCGTATAATATTTAGAACGCATTGACTAGTTGAACGTTCAAAACCAGTTTACCCTTATGTAGTTATCAATTAGTTATCGACACTGCTTTTATTTCGAGTAGGAAAAGTTTTTTTTAAAGGATCGAAGAAAATGCGGGACAAAGGCAGGACACTTGGAAAAAATCAGTAGATTTTGGGGGTTTTCTGTTTTGAAAAACTATGCAGGACAGACCTTTAAATAACAGTACGGTCCTGCAAAAAACAGAACGGATGGTCACCGTAGCCATAAGTCAAATGACGTTTGTATTTTCAATATACAGTTGCGGACATTGAAATCTAGCCAATTAAAAGAAACATGCATTTTCTTGTTTTTTATATTTTGGTTAGTTTTAAAGGAAAATGATTAATATTTACATAACTTTGGTTGTAGTAAATTAAGAAGATATTATTTTAAGGACTAAAAAATTCAGAATAAATGTTTTATGATAATATCATGCAGAGTCTTCTTCGCTTTCTAAAAATCGTTAACGCGCTGCGACATGAAATTTATTAAATTCGGCAATGGTTCTGCTTTGAAAACACTGCCCCAAGCAACCTCTAGAACTCAATTCGACACAAGCATATTTGCTAGCAGGGTCTTCATGATATGCCAAAGACCCGCGATTGGATTTTCGGTGTCCTCTTATGAAAAAGACGAATTATTTCCCCAACAGCTCTTTACAAATTTTTCTTTGCGCAAATGATATTCTTTATTGTCAATGTTATTGTGGCTTATTAATATTTTATTTTTAATATTTTTATTGAGCTTTGTACCACGATTGTTTATTAGGAAAAATTGAAAAAGCAACAAAGTCTAAGCGGTAGAAGTTATAGCAGCTATTTCGGAGATCACCATATCTCCTCATCAGACTTCTTTTTTTTTCAGACTTCAGCAGGGAGAAACAATAGTTTACGGCATGTACCAGAGCTGTAAAACTGTGAAATCATATGAAATTAAAAATCACCAATTTTATGTTATTATGTTTTCATTGAATTTTTCCTTGTTGGGGAATGTGGCTTATAATTTTCCAATTCTACATTCACTCAAAGTAGATACGATTGCACACATTAACATATTCAAAGAAAGATTGAAAAAACTGAATGACGAAACATTAACTTTTAACACTGAATAAGCATTCAGATGAATGCAGCTTTTGCTATGTGTGCACACATTCATTCAGTACCAATCAATCGATATAAATATTCTAAATACACAAAACCCACTGAAAAATACGCAAGGTTGAATTTTATTGAACAGATTTCAAAATTTCAACTCGAAAAATAGTTTATTGAGCGTTATCATTAATTTGTTTCACTTAAATTTGTACAAATATTTATAATAAATGAAAATATTAATTAGAGAAATATTTTTCTGCCAAGAATGTCATTATGAAAAATGTTAATTATTAACGATTTTTACATCTCTGTTTCGAAAATTGTCAGCTTTCTAAATAAGTATTACCAATGTACCAATAAAAGGTATGTGCAGAAGTTATTACATATGTACATACCTATATATCTACGTTAAAATAAGTAAACAAATTTAAGCGCTTCTACTTCTAACTTTAGATATATACATTTTATTATTTATTTATAAAAATTCTTAATACAAGTTTCTTCGTACTTTTTTCTTCGCTATTGGGTCAAGCATTTAATAAAGATTCTAAAACCTGATTTGTGGGTTTACAATAAGTTGAAAATTATCAACTTTTCTCAAAAAAAGATTTAACAAATCTGTGTGCAGACCCCTTTTTATTTTAGTGTGGTAGAATCGAAAAAAAAAAATGTGGTAGATTTGAATAAGATGTGGTAGATTTTCCAATTCATATTTTATTGGGTATACATATCGCACACCGTCGTCCAAAGAAGCACAACTCAAAAATTAAATCGGGAAATATAATTGCTAGTGGATCGTACAGATTCCACGCAATTGGTGCAAAAACAAGTATAACATTAGTTTTCTAGTTAGAGAATATAATCATGAAGAAAATAATATTTTATTTGTATGCAAAATAATCGACCAAATTATTTTCCCATTGCATAATACTTTAGCAAATATAAATAGGCGTATTTTTGAAATATTAGAAAGTTAAGGCACAGATATATTTAAAGCAAAATTTATGATGTACCTTTTTAAAAATTTATTGATTAATTTTTATATTTCGAATTACAACTGAGTTGAAATTCTAGAGTTATGTGAAAATTGTAAACAAATCTTCTGTCTAAAAATGTGGTAGATTTTAAGCCTTGTGTGGTAAATGTGGTAGACACCCAAATTTAAAAAAAAATACGTGGTTGATCTACCACACATGTGGTAGAAGCTTGCACACTGTTCTAAACGTATGTTTTGAGCAAATTGATGTTTAAAGCTCGCAATATATCCCATGTCCATTTTCCAAAACTATAATAATAAACATGGCAGTTTTTTAGCAATTTGGTTCCTGTAATTAAGGAAATATTGTAGTTTTGGCATTTTTCGAAATTACCATTTTATGAGAGGGACCAGGTTATTGTTCGACTTTTGTATTTTCAATACCCTGCTGCCCTAGATAAAAAAACCCTCGTACAGAATTTGGTTGAGATATCTCAACTTTTGCTAGAGTTATCGTGTACGCAAATAAACGGACATGGACTAATTATCTTTTCTTTTTATTCTGAGCATTTTTATGTATATATACATACATAAGTAGTACATACGAACATAAATGTATGTATCCATATCGATTAATTTTGGTTGTTCCAAATATACGTTATTTGAAAAAAAAGTTATGGTACCCTCTTGCAGAACTGCGCTGTAAATATGTTTAGGAAACATTTAAATTAATAGTTAATTAAAAAAGTTGCTCAAAGTAATGGAACTCCTCAACCCCTTTAAAAAAAAATAGGAACCCTTCTGAAATTTTGTTTTGAAAGTTTTCATATTTGAAAACTGAAAAAAATCACAGTATACAGCAAACCAGCCATTGACAATATGCTTATTTGAAAACTAATACTTGAAATGTTGTGAATATATAGGATTTTTTTGTCATTAACCCATAGGCAACAACTGGTGCAAAAGTACCTACAAATGTTTGTTGATATATTTGAAATGTAAATTTGAACAGCAAAATTCGTAAAACAAATTATAATAAAACAAAAATATTGTTAATTACTACGTGGGAGGTGGGCGTGGTTATTGGCAGATTTCGACAAAATTTAACACTAACCTAAATTATACCAAAGGCAACTTCGACACCGACTTTTGTTAAAATAACTAAATTTTGTTCGAGTTAGCGCGTTTACAAACAGAGAGGGCTGAACTAGTTCATCTCGTCATTCTGAATATATGTGTATATAGGTACATACATTTTTTACGGTTAACAA